CTGGCCCCCGGGCTACGCCGGCCTCCGGGTTTGGGCGACCCCCGCAGCTTCGCAGCTTCACTGGGTGCTCAATTCCTCTCCAAGCGTAGCACACAGAGGACACTCTGCCCAGCATTGAAATTTATCCCGAAAGCAAACAAGTCATAATTTACAGTGTATTTTAAATGTTAGCAATGTTTGTATAACTTCTTTTTAGCTGAGCAAACAACTGAAAATGTTAAGCTTTGAAATTCTTAAATTCACGTATATATATGTTTATATACAAATTTAAATAATCAGGCACTTTATTCAACAAAAATGATCTACTGGCAAAACCCAATAATCCTATATAACAAAGCTTAAAAGTTATTGCTACCTCAAATTTTGGCAATATGTTCTAAAATTATTTCTATTATTTTTAACACAGTGCATGTATGTCTAATAAGTCTTTTTATGGAAATATACATGCCACTCAATAATATGGAAAAGATTGCACCTTAGAGATGTGGAGATTTCTTTCCCAGGTGTTTAAAGCATGAGTGTCCCCTTGGCTTAACTTTCCCTTTCTGTATATTGGGATATAGAGACAATGATTTGTGTGTATCATATCTTAAAGCTATAAGGTGCATATTGAGATGTGTATTTTTCCTCTAAATTTAATATACTTTACTTAAGTATTTCACCAATTTTACCAGGTCCCTTGCTTCCTTTCCCTGAATTTATTTTAAATGCTTGATAAAATTTATTGATAAAAACAAAAACAGTTACAATGCTAGGCAGTCAGGCAAGGAATTAGTTGGTATCTTTAAAACTAAATTTTATTTTTAAAGATTCTTGAGTATCTTATCATATAAAATCCCTTGCTTTAAAGATATTTTTTATTATTCTTCCCTTAGCATTTTCTATTTCTTGCATGTCTTTCCAGTGATTGCACAGATGAAACTGCATGAAACCACAAAGAAATCTGAGGTTACTAAATAGCGTCAAAAGGTTCTCTGCATCTGATTTACTCTGCCTTACAGAGAGAGTCCTCCCAGACTTGGAGATATAACAAATGGTCCAGGATATCTTTGGCACTTAAATTATGTTGTCTACATTTGCACTTCGAAGACACTACTAAATTCTTCATATCAAAGCCTGTTTTCTACTAAGCATTTAGAATTCTCATCCTTTCAACATAACAGTCTAGTTGTACTAAAAACAAAAAAAACAAAAAACAAAAAAAAACACCCTGTACAGCATCATAAACCAGTCGTGGCAAAACTTGTAAAGCTACCAGGAGTTTGATAGTTTTTTAACACATGGAAGACATTTATTGATATTAGTGGTAATAGTAAAGAAATGTGATTGAATGTGTCAGCATTAGGGAGATTTGCATAACTCACTGAACCTACATGTTCCAAACAACCATTGAATGATGACATTCAAAGCATAAAATAGACCAATTGATTTCAATATACCAGAGCAAAAAAATTTAATTTGACTTCAGATTCTACATTTATTTATGTATTTCAAATTTTTTATTATGGTAAATTGCACAAAAAATTTATAATCTTAACATTTTAAGTGGTAAGTTCAGTTGTTTTAAATACATTCATAATGTTGTACAACATCTCTACTGTGCTGGGGAGCTCATAGCTGGAGCATTAAGTCAGGAATATACAGATTATGACCTGCTGAATGAGGAGGCAAAGCCACTCACAAGAGGCTGACAGGTAGCTTCCTCAGCATCAGAGTTCCATTTTGGGGAAATGAAAATTCCAGGGGTCGTCTTGATTAAAGGCCGATTCGATAAACTCACACAAAAGAAGTAAAGTCACAAGATTTATTACTTACAGATCCTAGAAATGAAGGGGATGGAGGGGCACAATGAACCAGGGGAGGGGCAGTCTTCCATCCCAGGTCATGAGCCAGCGGATAGAGAACATGATAGCAAACATCTATTACTATAAGGTGGTTGGGACAGAGGTCACTCACTTTTAATGGGCTCAGCTGTCTAAATAAATAATTTAAAAGGTACCCCAGCAAAAATAAAGAAGGAACTTAAAGTAGGAATCCTAAGCTCTGGTTGTCATACTATAAAATGCCTGGGAAGCAATTCAAAATAGCTGCTTTCTCATCACAATCATCATCCACACCCAGAACTCTTTTCATCTTGTAAAATTACAACTTTAAACCCAATAATCTAGAACTTCCCATTCCCTCCTAATCCTTGGCAACCACCATTCTATTTTCTGCCTCTATGGTTTTGACAACTCTAAGTATCCTATATAATAAAAGTCTAATATGCAAATTGACCAAACAGTGGAACAACCAGTTGCTATGATATGCAATGACCACTGGGGGGTGAGGGGAGGCAGACACTCAACACAGGAGCGTCCCCCCCCCAGTCTGCAGGCCCCAGGCCAGCCAAAGTAGATGCCAGCAGGGCCTCCCCAATCAGCCCACCAGTCACCCCGCAAAGATGGTGGCAGCAGTGAGGGGCGGTGCCAGTGAGCAGGCAGTGCCAGTGAGCAGGTTGTGCCAGGCCGGCCAAGGTAGGTGCCAGTGGGGGCCCTGATCGCCCCACCAGTGGCCCCACCAGTCACCCCACAGATCAGCCCTGACCGCCAGCCAGGCCTAGGGATCCTACCTATGCACAAATTTCATGCATTGGGCCTCTAGTTTCATATAAGAGGAATCAGTTTGTCTTTTTTGCAATGGACTTGATTCACTTAGCCTTATATCCTCAAGGTTCATTCATGTTGTAGCACATCAGAATTAGAGGCAAATGTTCCACATTTTGCTTATTCACCAATTGATGGACTCTGGATCATTTCAATTGTTTTAGCTATTGTGAATAATGCTGCTATGTACACTAGTGTACAAATACAACCAAACTGATTTTTAATAAACAGTGTTGAGGTATACTTGACGTGTAATAAATTGCACATACTTCAAGAGTTCAACTTTATATATTTTTATGTGTACACTATAGGTGGGGTGCACAAATTTGTGCATGGGTGGAATCTGGCTGGCCCACCCTGATGGGGGCCGATCAGGCCTGGCCAGCTGGAGGGAGGAACTGTTGGCTATTGGCCAGCCATGGCCCTACCCCGTGGTTGAACTCCTGGTCAAGGGGACAATTTGCATATTATTATATAGGATAAACTATCCATTACCACCCCACCCCCATTATGATCTAGCCTTTTATTATATAGGATGGTAAACATATCCATTACCATCCCACTCCCCATTTTATCCCTCTCATTCATTCTTCCCATATCCCTGATTTTTGTCACATTAGTTTGCATTTTCTAGTTTTAGATAAATCATAAAACTCTTACCATTTTATATTGCCATCAACATGAAAGTTCCAGATGTTACCAATACTTGGCATAGTCAAGTCTTTTTAATTTTAATCATGTGTAGTGATACTGTGTTTTTTTCATTTTCCTAATGACTAGTGATGATGGACTTCTTGTGTGCTTATATGCCATCTGTCTTCTTGATGAATTGCCTGTTCAAATCTTTTGCTCCTCCCTCCCTTTCATTGGGTTGTTTTGTCTTACTGTTGAGTTTTAAGAATAATTTATACTTTCTAGATACAAATCCTTAATCAGTACATATGTGGTTCACAAAGATTTTTCTTGTTTAAAGGTTGTTTTACTTTTTTATGATATCCTTTTAAGCACGTTATTTATGTCAATAAAATATAGTCTTAAGTTTTGTATTTATATCTATGATACACTTGTATAGTATGAGGTATAAAGTGGATTTTTATTGTACAATATATGGTATTCAATTGTTACAGCACAATTTATTGAAAAGATTTTTTTCTACAAAAGTTGCCTTTATAAAAATTCGCTTGTCCATGTATGTGTGAATGTACTTATAAACTGTTTCACTGAACTATTTGCCTATCTGTATGTCACTACCAGTCTTGATTCCTGTAGCTCTATTTACAAGTCTTGAGATCAGATAATGAGACTGAACAAAAACTGTGCACCTATGGATGAGGACAATGGGGATGGGGAAATGACAGAGGGTGAGCTGGGAACCTGGTGGAGGGAAGCAATTGAGGGGTTGGGGAGGAAAAGAAACACATTTGTAATAATCTGAACAATAAAGATTTATTTAAAAAAACAAAAAAACCACGTTTAGCAATTAATAGATCCTTTGCACTTTCATTTGAATTTAAAGTTTGTTTCTACAAACTAAATTCATATGAAAGTGCAAAGGATCTATAAAAAAATTGGCTTTTGAAATTGATTGGGACTGTCAAATCTATAGATTTGGAGAGATCTAGTATCTTAGTACCTTACAATGAGCATAGTATACCTATTTAGTTCTTTCAGCAATGTTTTAGTTTTTTCAGTGTACAAGTCTTCCACATCTTTTGTTAGATTTATCTCTAAGTATTCCATATTTTTAAATGGTGATGGAGACTTGACTTGGGATGGTGAATATACAATTCAGTGCATGAAGTGTAGAATTTTATACTTGAAACATGAAATTGTTAACCAGTGTCACCCTAATAAATTTTTTTAAAAAGCATTTATAAATTGTATTTTATTTCAGTTTCATGTTGCCAGATATAGAAATGTGATCTGTTTTTGTTATATCAATGTTATATTGTGAAACTGTGGCAAATATATTCTATTTTTAATAGATTACATTGACTTTCTAAATAGGTGATCATGTTGTCCGCAAATTGTTATATATCATCTTTTCAGTCAAGATGATTTTCATTTATTTCTTGCCCCATGGACCTCCAGCACAAAACTAAATACAAGTAGTGAGAGCAGACATCAGTCTTGTTCCCAATCTTAGGAAGAAAACATTTTCACCATTATTATGTTACCTAAACTCTTTTAGTAGATGCCCTCAGTCAGGTAAAGAAGTTTCTCTCTAATCAATTAATTAAGTAACTTTTCCTTTTCAGTTGTTAATAGTGAATTTCAATGACCTTCAAATGTTAAAAACTAACCCTGCATTCTTGGGATAATAACATTTAGTTCTGATGCAACATTTTTTTTTTACATGTTGAATTTGCTTTGCTAAAAATTGTGTTTAGAATTTTTGCACTTATACTCATGAGGGATACCGCTTTTTAGTTTTCTTTTAATGTCTGTTTCAGGTTTTAGGATCTGGATAACACTCACTATATAGAATGAGTTGGGAAATAGTCCACCTCTTCAATTCTCTGGAATTGTTTGTGTAGAATTGGACAAAATTGGCTAAAAGAACTCTAGACAGGAAGCAGGTGGTAGGCAAGTAAGAACTTAAGGTAAATATCCCTAAAATATGTCACTCTAGCATAAGGATTATTTTAGTCTAGGTGATTTTAAGGAATAGCAGACATGGGAGAAGTGCTAAAAACCAACTTGAAGATACCCTTTTTAAGACTCACCTATAAGGGAAATCTTCAATTGTAAGGGTGTCTCTCTCCACGTACCCAAAAGAGGGGAATGATCTGATCTCTAGAAACTCTTATCAATACAGAAGGCAACCATTTACATCTGCATAACAACTTTATGCTTGGATTACAGCACTTTTTCAGATACAGTCCCATAACTGATTCTGCCACCCCCAACATCTTTTGTCTTCAGCTGATATTTAAGGTGGCAATTTCAGTCATTTTGGCAACTTACTTAATTTTCCTGGTCTTTCCCATGTATATGGTACATATACATGTTATTCCTCCCCCCCCACCCTTGTTAATCTGTATTTATTTACAGGGATGTCTCAGCCAAGAACCCAGAAGAATGGAAGGGAAATTATTTTTCCTTCCAACAGAGCAATAGGCTATATCACATAGCCTAAATGTGTAATGGGGTATATTCTATGATGTTCATACAATGACTGAGTCAACTAACGATGCATTTCTAAAAATGTATCCCCATCAAGTGGTACATGACTTATTTATTTAGGATATTATATTTTCTTAGATGAATAATAAAGGCTACCTAGAATGTGTTACTTTACTGTACAGGGGTGAGCAAAAGTAGGTTAATAGTTGTCAAGAAATTGATGAAAATAACTCTGTGCCAAAGTATGCTTGAATATAGTGATTAGACTATAAGAATGTATGAAACAGCCAAGAGAGGTTTGGCTCAGTGGACAGAGCGTCGGCCTGCAGACTGAAAGGTCCCAGGTTCGATTCTGGTCAAGGGCATGTACCTTGGTTGCGGGCACATCCCCAGTAGGGGGTGTGCAAGAGGCAACTGATGGGTGATTCTCTCTCATTGATGTTTCTAACTCTCTATCCCTCTCTCTTAAATATCAATAAAATATATATTTTTTTAAATGTGTGAACCAAGAAAGACTGGCCATTTGAGCACTTATAAGATTATACCTAAGTGCACTGTACCATTATGACATTCTTTAGAGTTAATAAAGCTACTGTAGCCCACCAGTGTGGCTCAGGGGTTGAGTGCCAACTTATGAACCAGGAGATCGTGGTTCAATTACTTCTGGCCTAGCAAATTCCAAACATGCAAAAAGAAAAAAGAAGAGTAACGGAAAAAGAACAAATTAACAAAGTAAGTTAATCAAGGGAAAATTACATAGTTATAGAAAACCAGAAATAATACCCTAGAATGATTTATTCTTTAACACAAGAAAATATGAGCATCATATTTAAACAATCCTTAATGTACTTTTACTTTTTTCAGTTTAGACTATAAAATAATTATGAAAACAAGATTATCTTATGTACTAATGCTCTGCAGGAAATGGTACAATTGTTTAGGTATCCATTAGGATGCAAGAAATAATTCTAACCCATCCGGGCTGGCTCAGTGGCTGAACATCAACCTACGTACTGGGAGGTCATGCTTGGGTTCCGTCAGAGCACAAGCCCAGGTGGCGGGCTCAGAGGGGGGCGTGCAGGAGGCAGCCAATCAATGATTCTTTTTGATCATCGATGTTTTTATGTTTCTCTCCCTCTCCCTTCCTCTCTGAAATTGATAAAAAATATATTTAAAAAATTTATTCTACTTCCAGTACAGTTTTAATTTGTCTTGTGACTTTCAGAATACAGTATTCATTTTTCATCTATACAATAAAGCTGGATCAAGTGATATCTAAAGCTTCTGACTGTTTTCAATGTTAACGATGCTACATTATTTATATAGCCAACCCACTTTTTTTCCAAAAGAAACTTCTTAAATTGGCATCTTCCCTAAAAATGGTGGAAAAAATTTTAGAAAATTCGAATTCAAATCTATTTCAGACTAGGGACTGAAAACAATAATTTTCTTACAAATAAATTGAGTAATTTCCTCTAATCATGTTCCTAAGAATGTGAAAGTATTAAGTAAACTTCAGAAACGTATAAAAACCTTAAAGGAACACAATTACTAAAAGTAAAAACATTTAAAAAATTGTCTCCTTTAACTTAGTAGGTTGAAGCTTTATATTAGGAAAAAAGCCCTATTAAAATAAAAAACTAGACAACTATTTTTTGACAATCCCCTGAAATCACAGTATTTAAAAAATAGATCTCATTTTTTCTGTATAATTCCATTACATAACTGTTAACTTTCCAAAATTTACATGGAATTACTTTCACATACATTTCCAAGGAAAGTTTCATTGATCAATGCAATCATGATTTATTAAATAAAGAAGTCCATGCTTTATAACTCAGCATTACATTTCTCACAGAGAAATCAAAAACAATGTTTCCTATCATCGATAGGTACCAACTGTCTTTGTTAAGTCTTCCAACTACCATATCAGTAAAAAGCCACATTAAGTGGGAGCTGCCTTTGCAGATGATGCCTGGGCCTTGGCCATTCTTCGAACCAATGCTTCTTGTCTTTTTCTCTGAATTTCTTCAGGAGAATACTTCCTATTTTTCTCTTCTTCCTCTAAAAAATTAAAAAAAACACAGATACTAGTGTTACAGACTATAAAGTCATTCTTAAGATCTGTTTTACTTTTTACTTTTTTATTACCCCGAGTTGTCACATTGGTTTGACTACTAAGTCACACTGAACTACCATATGTGAAATTCTAAGTACAGAAATAATGCTGTAGGCCAAAAGAAAACAAAAAATCACTGATAAATCTGTCCCTATTTAATGCCCTCTTTTCAGTGTGATAAAATTCATTTAATTAAAAATGGTACATTTTGACTACCCAGCAAGTAATTCTTGTGAATGACATCTAATTTCTATAACACATTTAAAAGACAGATTTTAAATGTAAAATAGTTAAAATATAATGAATTAAATGAGATACCAATACTTCAAATAATGTATTTATAAGATAAGGTATATTCATATTCACCTCTATAGAAATCCATGATTTCATTTCAGCCATTCAGGAGAAATATTTTATCATGATAGAATGAAATTCAGCATGTCAATAAACATGTAACTCATTGTCAGGTATTATCTTTTTATTTGGAGGACACAGTTTATATAAACAGAAAATTATTTTAAAAAGCAAAATATATGAATAAATTATCCAATCTGAATGTCTTTTTAATATATAAAAATATAAAGCATTCTGATATATGTATATTCTTATGTATTCTTTAAACACACTATAAAATAATATTTCAAAGTAAACAAATGAAAATAGGAAAGTTCTATTTTAACAAAACATCCAATTTTATCTTTGCCAAAATACTGAGTTCTAATATAATGAATTTAATTCAATAGTTAGGTCACTTTGAGTTAATATAATAGATTATATTAATAAAAATAAAGCTTTAAATAGCAAATTTATTTCCTCATTTAAATGCTTTAAAATTAAGACCATCACCATAATACATCTTTAAATGACCTTGTATTGTATTCGTAAAACTGTTTATGTTGTAAAATCTGCCTTTCAGATAATTAAATAAGAATCTATATTATCAGCAGAAAAATATTATTTATACTGACATCTAAACAAAGGTTCAGAATTTGTTACATTTCTCTTGTTAACTAAGGGAGATATGTCTAAAATATATCATCTGTTTCCTTTTCTTTCTTGGTATAATCTGAATGGGAGCCCGTGTTCAGGGTAAGAGATGTGTATTTTGAATAAACTCCCTAATGATTCTGATGTCTTTTATTTCCTAAACTATTTATCTCAGAGTGTAGCTTTTTTTTTTTCCTTACAGAAAGATACAAGATACTTAAAATCAGCTAGACTAATTATCTAATATTTTAGCCTCAAGCCTGAGAAACACAAGAAACTCAGAATACATGCACACACAGTTTACATGCAATTGACCATAAATTTGGAAGGAATACAGGTTAATAATCCATGACGACAGAAAAGAACATAGCTCCCTAAAATTGGCCTTACAGTTGGCTTGGTGATATTCTGGAAAATAATTTCAAAGGATATAATAAAGTCACACCATGAAAATTTGATTTAGAGAGAGTCATCCATTTCTCCCATCAGCCCTTCCTTTAACTCAATCTGCAATAAAAATACATAGCAAAGTCTCAAACTATTGCAAGGTACAAAGCAAGAGTGACTCTAAATATTAATCTAACGCAGAGGTCAGCAAATTGGTTGTTGTTGTTGTAATAGGCCAGAAAGTAAATATGCTAACCTTTGTAGATCATATAATCTCTTAATCTAACTGCTTTACTCTGTCATTGCAGCATGAAAACAGCCACAGACAATATATAAACAAATGATGTAGCTCTGTTCAGATATACATTTGTATAGGAACAATAAAATTAGGATTATAGTTTTTAAAAGTCACAAAATATTCTTCTTTTAATTTTCCAACCATTTATAATGTGAAAGGCATTTTAGCATGCTGCTGTTCAAAAACAGGCCACAGAGGGTGGATTTGGACAGGCCAGGTTTGCCAAACCTTGCCTTCCAGGAATGAGGTTCTTAAATGGGTTTTGTTTCAGACATATGCTGGAGAGCAGTTTACTACATAACAAAGTAAAAGGAAGTATAAACAACAGAAAATATCAACACGTTTAATATTCATTTGAATATTATATACTCTATGCCCTGTTGGCACAGCTCAGTTGGTTGAATGTGGTCCCACACACTGAAAGGCTTCCTGTTGGATTCCTGGCCCAGGTTGCAGTCTTGACCCCTAGTAAGGGTGCTTAGGGGAGGCAGCCAATCAGTATTTCTCTTTCTCTCATTCTAATCAATTAAAAAAATTAGAAAAAAGGAATATTAGATGCTATAAATCAACTCAAAGGAAAAATTGATAAGATAAATTAAAAGGCAGATTATTCATCCATAACAAAGATAGATTAGCAGATAAAAGTTTTGGGAAAACTCAAATATTCTAGAGATTTAGTCTTTAAAAGAATTACAATTATATGTTAATGTATTCATTTGGGGAGTATGAGTCAATGAATTACATTTATTTAAATATAAATATTTTAAATTGTTATAGATTTAACAATTATTTTTTAACATATTTTAAATTGATTTTTACAGAAAGAGGAAGAGAGGGAGAGAAAGACATGGCAGCAAATACCAACTGGCTGCCTCCTGCACACCCTCTACTGGGGATCCAGCCTGTAACCGGGCATGTGCTGTTACTGGGAATTTAGCCAGCAACCTTCCAGTGCATGGTATGACATGCAACCAACTGAGCCACACCTGCCAGGGCATAGATTGATAATTCTTAAAGTTTCAAAATATCTAGCTTGGGCCATAATGTAGAAATATATTATTTGTCAGTATTGATAAGAATATAAATTGATGTAACTTTTGGGGAAAATTTGGTGATAGCCATCAAAATTCAAAACATTCTCCTTCATTAATTTTTCAGTTAACAGATATACCGTATTTTTCGGACCATAAGACGCTCCGGACCATAAGACGCACCAGTTTTTAGAGAAGGGAAATGAAGAAAAAAAGATTCTGAAACAAATAGTGTCCTAAAATATTTTATGTGCATTAAAACCCAACATCACAGTCATAAACACATGTAATCAACCCTGTAAAGTAAACAGCAGCATTTAGAACCATTTTAGAGCCGGGCAAGCACACAGAGACCACACAGAGCCGGGCAAGTAAAAAAACTTTTTTTTTAAAGTATATGTGTAGGCTATATTTGGAACATAAGACGCAGGGACTTTTCCCCCCCACTTCTGGGGGGAAAAAAGTGCGTCTTATGGTCCGAAAAATACGGTAATCTCAAGAGTATACAGAAATTTATGTAGAAGGATATTAACTGGAGGATTGTTTGTAATGTAAAAAACTATAGCCAAACTACACTTCCATCAATAGATAGTTAAATAAATTGTTGCATCCATATAATGACATACTATACAGTGTGTTAAAAGGACAGAAGCAAATCTATATGTATTAACAGGAAATGATAGTTATAATATATTAAGTAAAGGTAAAACCAATTGCCAAATAGGGGCTATATAGCATATAATTCCATCTATTTAGATAAATCTATAAATATACACACATTTTTTATACACATACAAAAATGTTACATGATGTATTCCAAATTGTTACCAGTGGCTTTTCCTGGGAAATGGTATGGGAAAGGAGAAATAGAGGACTTATAATTTTTTTTAAAGAGGAGGGATCACTTAAATAGGAAAATTCTAACAATAATACCAACAAAAACATTATCTAGAATCTAAACTGAAAAGAAAGATCTAATGTTAAAAGAAATTAAAAACTTTCTCCTATTAGCTCTAATCTACATAACAAATAAGGAGTCTAATGTTAGCTCCAAGTGAGGGAGACTAATTTAAGAAAATCTATAATTACAAGTGAATATACTAAATACTGTAACAGAAATTAGCACTAGGTATTGGAGTAAGCCAGAGAAAGTGAATGTAAATCATTCTGAAGGTGGTTAAAAACACATTGTATTTTAAAATCATATGGAAAATGGCCTGGCAGATTTGGTATAGACATGCAGGTGCACTATTCCGGGCAAAGGAAATAGCATTTGCAGATGGAAGGCTATGATAAAGTATTGGACATTAAGAAGTACTAGTAGCTAAGCCAGACATATTCCCTTTAAAAAATATTATGATATCTTGCCCTGACTGGTTTGGCTCAGTGGATAGAGCGTCAGCCTGCGGACTCAAGGGTCCCGGGTTTGATTCTGGTCAAGGGCATGTGCCTTGATTGTGGGCACATCCTCAGTAGGGGGCGTACAGGCGACAGCTGATAGATGTTTCTCTTCCATGTTTCTAACTCTCTATCCCTTTCCCTTCATCTCTATAAAAAAAAAAATCAATAAAATATATTAAAAAATATTATATCAGTGAGTAAAAGACCTTTTACATTACATTCACTCAAATATTTATCAAACATCTTCTAAGTGTCAGATACTGTGGTAGGCCAAGGAACTCACTGATAAGATCATAATCAATTATTTAATTGTGATTTTAAAAGGTGAAGGAAATAAGAGATGATGGAAAACAAGGAAAAGACTTAACTACAGATTGTTCAAGAAAGGCCTCTGTGAGAGGGTAATTTTTAAACTTGAGACCAAAGGATAAAAAAGCACCCAAGGGTGGTGTGGGGGTGAAATGCTGGAAAGTAGTTTTAGTTGGGAATAGCAGTCAAAGCTCCTGAACTAGGAAAGAACCTATTTTTATTGAGGAACTGAAAGACTGTCGGTATAGCTGAAGCTTAGTAAGTAAAGGGAAAAAAAGAAGACAAGCAGGTTAAAGAGAGATAACCTAAGCCTTAGATAAAAGGGTCAAGTTTGAACTGTTTTATTTGAAATACAATCAGCTATTGAAGGCTGTCATTAAGCATAGGAATGAAGTTTACCTATTTGTTTGTAAAAGTTATTCTGCTATTTAGAGATTAGAATTGAAATGGGACAGGTAAAAGAACTGCAGTGGTCCAGTCAATGTATGCTGGCTTAGAAAAGAATAGTAATAGTAGAGAGTGAGAAAAATGGACAAATTTTGAGATATATTTTTTGTTGTAGAAACAACAGAACATGTTGATGAAAATGAGAATTTGGGAAAATAGGAACTGGCAGAAATGAAAGATGACCGGTTGCACTGAATAAGTAATTAGAATTATCATAACTAACAGTTTTATATCAGCTATTATTCTAGAAGAGGTATTTAAGGAAAATGTCCTTCATTTTCAAATATTACTCACCTCAATGTTCTGCTCAACATAGTAAGATTATTCAAGTTTTAAAACAATGAAATATTTCATAAAGAGTCTCACACAGTAATATATGTGTATATATGTGTATATATGTGTATATAAATATATATATATTTCTCAAGTATGATTTTTCACAAAATAATTCAGAAAACATGAAACAAGTATTTCCTGAGTGCCTACTACATGCTTGTCACTGTACTAAATGCTGATAAAGAATCTGATGCAGTCTTTTGAAAACAAATCACCCACTCTGTATATCACAACATATTAGTAAAAAACACATTATGACATGGTTAAACATCATAATTTTTACTTTACATGTTATGCAAATTCAAAACAACAAAAACAAAATACTACTTTGGCTACTTCCCAAGATAAACTTTCAAAGGAAATTATTTGATACATACCTTTTGAAGGTTGTTTCAAAGATTCAGGTTTCATCAAAGATTGCTGTTGAACAGTCTTCCCACATAATGAGTTGACAGGAATTTTGTTTTTCTCCAAATTCTGTGTAATTCTGGTTTCAGAGATACTTTCTGTTATACAATTTTGATTAATTTGGGAAAGAACATGGGAATTTTTTATCTTTGTAAACCTGTACTTAGAAAATGTAACTGTTCTGTTAAGATCATTCTGAGCTTCATTGGTTATGGTCCCATGGAACAGATGCTGTGTATTCAATTTCTTCTCATAAGTAGCTACTTCTGTACTCACATGATCGGAATTCACATTCAAACTTGAACTTCTTATAAGAACCGATTTGGAACTATTCAGTTCTATTGGAATATCAGTATTACTCCAAGAGACAGGCAAATTATTGATCTGACAATTTGAGTTCTTAGAGTATATAGTCAAATTTGTTGTCGCACCTATAAAACTTGGAGAATTTCCACAAATTTCCCCTTTTAGCATCTTTACTGATTTATTTATTTGTGAGGTATCAGTCAATGAAGACGATTGTGCTGAAATATCATTACTCAGATTCAAATACGTTGATTGCACCAACTGACTTCCTTGTTTAGATGTAGTAAACCTGTTTTTGGCTCCATGTTTGGAGCTATTATTAATGTCAAATATACTTTTTGATGTCTTGTTGTCCTTTCTCATGTCTTGCTGCTGAGTTAGTTTTTCAATATCATCACATGCTTGGTATAATAGGTCATCCTCTACATCATCAGCTTCCCAGGTATTCTCTAATTGATGACATGTTTTAACAATTTCATTGGCAAATGATGGGTCATTCCAATCATCAGAGAAATAATCCATATTTGATGCATCAGTCTGATTTGCACTGTCCAAAGCAGCAAAGTCAAAAGTATCTATATTAGCAGACATCTTAAATGATGGATTAAAAACTGACTTATTTTTCTGTTCATTAGAATATCCTGTGTTCAAAGTAGACTTTTTTCGAGAAGTATTTACATTAGAAATAAATTCAGTATGAATATCTTCTTTTACTTTTGTTGGATCGGATGCAACTGAACCATCTTGAGTTTTGTCTTGAATGGTTTTATTAAAAGATTTCTCAAATTTCATTTTATTTCCAATGGATAGTAATTGGTTTGGTTTATCATTTGAATTTGGTGAAAATCTGTATTGTCTAGCATCTATTAATTTATTGGTATGTGTGTTTGAAGAAACATCTAAAACTTCTGAATCTCTAAACTCAGCATCTAGACTTATATTCATTCTTGAGTTACTTTTACCATTTTTACTGTTAAAAATACAAATTTCTTTTTGATCAACCATCTGGACTGTTTCAGGAGCAGAAAAAAGTTCAGATATTCCTACATTTTGCATAACAAAAGGTTCATTATTCAGTAAGTTTTCCCATTCGTCCTCAAATATATCCATGTGCTTATTAAAAGCTTCTGGCTCCTTAGTACTAGATGTCACATATGATTTTGTCATCCCAGGAGTATTTATTTGATGAGAAAGTGACGTTGGGGGTTTGTTTCGTAGTTTTTCAGTAACTTGAGTTTCATTACTAATGATTTTCTCCTCTTTCAAAGCACTTTTCTTTCCAGAGGCAGTATGAACACTGCTCCACAAAGCATCTGACAGATCTTGGCTTAACTGTCCACTACACTTCTGAGTAGAACCATCAAAAATGGCATTAAAGGCTGCTTCAGCATTTTGGTCAAATGGCTTCTGACTGTTATATTGATCATTTACCACAGATACCTTGGTGTTCTCTTTCACTGGCTTCTTTATTTTAGCATTATCTATTTCAGGAACAATATCATGTAATAACTGCATCTGTATATTATAATTATTTAAAGTCTCTGCTTCTGAAATCACCTGGATAAAATCATGATTTCTCTGGTTTTGCTCTTGAATCACATCTAGCTCTTCCATATTTTTATCAAATTGCTTAGCCAATTTCATAAGTTCTTCCTCTTGATTTTGTGTTTTTAACCTATTAGACAAAAATGTTAAAAATTATAAGAAAAGTTCTAACAGTTGTTATACTCAATTGTTATTTGACATATTTTAATATGTTAAAACTTAAAAATTTTAAGCACTAATTATTTTAAGTACAAAATTCTACACGTCAAAATTAAGGAAATGTTTCTGATATAATCACAAAACTAAATCAATTATTGAAAATATTTACTTCACTGAATGTCAGAAAAAACTAAAAAGTTTGAATTTACTTTGTGCAGCTGAATTTTGCTCTTGATTTTCCTTTCGCTACATGAGGAGTACAAGGAATAGCAGTTTCACCAATCCACACGCCCAGCATGGAATCCGTTGTTGGTTTTTCATCCTTTGGCAGAAGGAGGGGAAAAAAGAGGTGTAAAATAAATAAATAAAGAGAGAGAAAGAAAGTAGAAAAGACAACTTTAACTACGTTGATTTATTTTCCTCAAATAATAAATTCTGAAAATATTAAGTTGATCTAAATAATTATTTGAGGTTAACTCACCTAAAAATAAACAACATAAATATGTCATTTGTGAATACTTTTTAAAGCTTTTAAAATAATCTTGGTATTACCAAAGATTTATGTTTTAAAAGTACTCAGTTGAAAAGGGTAACATTTAAAAGCAACTAATTTCACTGTACTTTTTCTTATACACAAGTTACCACTTGCATACTGTTGCCATTTCATTATGTGAGCTATTATTTCCATCCCTCTTAGGTAGAGTCCAATAATTTACTCAACTATCTTTTTATCACTATTTAGGCTGGCCAGCCCAAACACATTTTATTATGCTTCTTTCATGTGAAACTCACAATTAATGAAGATCTACTGTTAACTCATGAAGTAAGTAGTATTATGGCATAAATTCTATTTAACTAATGAATTGGAAAATGAATTTCTATGACAAGCCAAACATGGAATGTAGAGCTAGTACCAACAGAGTTGTTTTGACTATCATAGTTGTAATTTGGGATGTTTTATAGCCATCAAGAGAAGCTTTATTTCCTGTCTTTTCCACCTGGATTATGCTGATTCCGTGTAACTACAATTTGGGTAAGTGCCATCTATTGTTTTTGGTCAACATAAGTCTCTATCCATGGTTGTGTCAAAGAAAAATAGCAAACTTCCTATAGAAAAGATACTAAGCAAAAATTGGATGTTTTCTGAATTTAAACTTGTTAAATAAGGAAAAAAGAGAGGAAAGTAAAGTCAACTTCAGAACAGAGGTTGACTTTAATTTATATTTATATTTCACTCAAGCAGTGTAAGAAAAATAAACTTTTACAGATGATTCTATTATAGCAAATAATTTAACTGTAATTTTAACACATAAGTAACTTTAGCATAACCTTGTATTTATAGTGTTCAAAGTTTACAAAGACTTGTTATCTAATATAACCTTCATATTAATTCAATAAAAAGAGCAAGACAAGTAATTCTAATTTATGGCTGAATGAACTGAAGTTCTGACAGCTTAAGAAGCTTGCTTAGGGTGACCCAAGAGGTGATGTGAGAACTAACTCCAAATCCAGTGTTTTTCCCAATTTTACAATGCTGACTATCAGAGCATTTAAAAAAAAAAAAATTTATTGATTTTTTTACAGAGAGGAAGGGAGAGAGCTAGAAACATCGATGAGAGAGAAACATCGACCAGCTGCCTCTTGCACACCCCCTACTGGGGATGTGCCCGCAACTAATGTACATGCCCTTGACCAGAATCAAACCTGGGACCTTTCAGTCCACAGACCTACGATCTACCACTGAGCCAAACCGGCTTAGGCGATCAGAGCAGTTTTAATGGAGAAAAGTCATGCTACAGTCAGTACACAATTACCAATCATTTATAAAAACCTTAAAAATTTAAATTTTCATTGTCTGATTCTATTATTTTATCAACTTGAAAATGGTGCCATATATTGTTAAACAATACTAAAAACAAAATAAAAAGAAAGCTCTAGTCAAAATCATCACTCTAGAAAATTAAAATAAGGTGACGAAGATGATCTGACTTTGGCTGGTGGGCACACAGTGCAATATACAGAGCTTGTAACATAGAAATACACACTTGAAACTTACATGATCATATTATACAACGTCACCCCAATAAATTTAATAAAAAAATCTAAGTTGAAAAGTAAAACAAGATATTATGTTTAGAAAAGTAAAATTACTAATTTTATATTGTTTCTCTTTTCAGAATATGCATTTCTGCAATAGAAAAATGTATTAGTTATATCTGCTGCTCTAGTTTCTGCAAAGAGAGTTGTAAAAGATAAAAACATTTCTCATATAAATGAACTGTACAAGGACTTAGTAACATAAAATAATTATAAAACTAGTGATATTTACCTGAGGAGCAATACAATTAACAATATGTGAGATCTCATCACTATCTGTGCTGTAAATCTTTTTTCTTCTTCCTTTACCTAAAGAAAGAAACACATTTTTAAATATTTTTTAAAATAGTGTTCATTTCTTAGAAAACAAGTTTAATTAGCACATCTATGATAGCACATGTATATCACAGTAATACAATCAGATAAGATTCTCAAAAAACATCTATTGTACAGAATTCATGATGTTGTTCCCCCAACTGAAATCCAATAGTTTAAATCCTAATCATCTCTCACATAGTTACCCAGATAAAAATGTTAATAACAAATTACCTAACTGTTTGGTCATTGGAGAATTTTGATCCCAAAAGATATCATTCAGTCCATCTGGATCATTAGGAGAATTGAAGGAAGATGACAACAAATCCATTTTCAGCACTCTCTTTGGTGTTTCATACTTTTCTACATAAAATAAGATTAGTATAGCAGTTGTTACATTTTAAAGCATTGCTTCATAATACCCCAATATCAAATAATAGCTTTTAACAATATTACTTTTTATATAGTCCAATTATCTAATTTTCTCCCAGAGATGATTTAATATAAAGTTTCACAACTGAAATGCTTGTTTCACATAAAAAACCTCCCAAATTTAACATTATAAACAGCAAGAAGTTTAAATTAATCTAATAGGTCTATGGATGTCACTCCACTCATTTCCATTGGATCTTGGAGGCTTTGGGAACCACCTGTCATGTATACATTTCAACCATAGAGAGTGTCCCAACAGTACAGTCTGTTTAGACGGCATTCACCAACTCTGCCCAGCTTAAACCAATTACTTCAAGAAGCTTTAGCGACCCACTTCTTGGAAAGTTTTGTCCAGCATCACTTTTTAAATTTCTAGAGATTTGTTTTTGCCCCTTCTGGCATTGCTTTACGCGAGTCAACTGAAGACCAGTCAAGGCAACAAAAGCCATGTTTGGAGAAACAGGTTTAGTGTGGGGCTCAGTTCCCACCACGCTTTATTAAAAATCTTTCAAAACTGGGACACCAAAAATGGATCAGAATGAAGTATATTCCAGGGCCCTACTGGGAGGGGAGTCCTACTTAGGCACTTCCGGTTTATGCAAAATGAGAGGGGACATCCCTGAGGCTTTGTGGATACACATAGCTATGGCTCTTCTGAGGGTCCCTTCTCTAAAGCAAGTCGGGGCAAAAAGTTTAGGCGGAAATAACAGCCTTGGGAAACAGCTGGAGGCAGCAGGTCCGCCAGGCATATTTCTCCTCGCTCCGCCACCGCTGACTCGGAGGGGCAGCCTAGACCTGAGCCGCCCCCCCTCTTTCAGGTGAACCCCACACCCCTAATTCCCGCGGCAGGAGCGACAGAGGATGATCACACCTAACGGGGCAGCGCTCAAATTCGGGGACCAAGGCCAAGGGGACGTGTGCCGGGTAAGTTTGGGGCTCACAAGGGGAGAGGCCCAGAGAAAGAAAACACCCTGTGTAGATTCCACCCCGCCCCCCTCCCATCCCAACTTCCCCAGAGAGGCCACGTCTCCCTCCCCGGAGTTACTTTTACCGCAGGAAGCGGCTACCGACGGCTGCTCTGGCTGCGGCACGGGCTGTTGAGACCCCTCTCCAGCCCCGCGGAGCCCCGACCCACGGGCCGACCGCAGCCGCCTCTTCCCTGACTCGGCCACCGAGCTGCATTCCTCAGCCGCCGCCGTCGCCGCCGCTTGGCGCGGCGTCCTCTTCGGGCCAGGGCTGTCCCCAAGTTTTCTTCGCCGACTCATTGCCTAGGACCCCCCCCTCCTTTCACATTTTGCACGGGAAGCGTAGAGCCGTGGAATCAGAAAGGCCTCCGGGAGCTAACGGCCGCCGCCATTTTTGACCGCGGCGCGCCTGGCAGAGGCGACCGTTGATTGGCTGCGTCCGGCGAGGGGCGGGGCGGTGAGCGTGCGGCTGGCGCGCGCTTGCGCAGTCCGACCCCTGAACCTACTTGGCTCTGGGCAGACAGCAGGATTGGGAAGGAGTGTGTGAGGGGCCATGGTGGGAGCATAACTGATAGTTAGAACGTGTGAGGTGAAAAGATTTCATCCACTGACAGATTTTTTTTTTAAATTAAATTTGCAGCTAGTTTTACCAGGACATTGCTCATTCAGATTATTGTGGGGTTTAGTATTTTTAAGAAATAGAAAGTATAGATTAGGGAGGGAGCAATGAAACTATTTTTTCCTAGATGATAACAGCATAGAAAAACCCAAAAACATGTAGGAAAAATTATTAAATTCGTAGGTTAACAAAGTAGCTGATACAAAGTCAATAGTCAAAGATCAACTGTTTGCATTAGATGAATAAGTAACAAACAACATTGATGTTTTAAAGAAATAACAATTTATTGTAGCATACAGGGTATCGAATAATTAGGAACAAATTTAACCAAAGATTTCAACAACCCTACAGAGAGTTATGAAATATTTTTGAAAGAAATTGGACACCTAAATAAGTGAAGGATTAATATATGTGCATAGGTTGGGAAGCTTCACATTGTTACAATGTCTGTCCTCAGATTGATCTATAGATACAATGCAAAGCCATTCAAAATTACAGCAGGGTTGTGTTTGTATGTGTAATATATAACAAGTTTATTTTACAATATGTATGGAAATGCAAAAGGTTTAAGATATTAGAGAAACTCTTAAAGAATCATGAAGTTCTATATCTACCATGTATGGAGACTTATAAAGTTAAGGAATTAACAGCCGAAACCGGTTTGGCTCAATGGATAGAGAGTCAGTCTGCGGACTGGGGGATCCCAGGTTCGATTCCAGTCAAGGGCATGTACCCAGTCTTGATTGTAGACCATGAGAGACCCAGAGCCAGAGGACCCAACCAGGGGAACTGTCCCATACTGCTGGTGAGAGTGTAATGTATTACAACCACTTTGCGAAAGAGTTTTGATCTAGCAGTCCCACTCCTAGGAATATAACCAATGGAAATGCGTAGATTTGTGCATCAAGATATATTTTATAAAAATGCTTTTAGCAGTAAAATTTGAAATTACCCCAAACTGGAAGCAAACCGAAAGCCTTTCAAGAGTATAGTAGTTAAGTATATTGAGCAATATTTGCTCAATAAAATGCCACATTCTAATGAATAGGAAAAACTATAGCTCCTACAACAATGTGGAAAAATCTCAGAAATATAAAGTTGAACAAAAGAGATCAGACTATTAACTCTTTCTTCCATAGAATACTATACTGCAGTGATTTTTAACCTTTTTCACCTCATGGCACACATAAACTAATGATTAAAATTCTGTGGCACACCAAAAAATGCGTTACACTTTTTGACAATCTGATAAAAAGTATAATTTTTATTCATTCACATTGGATGGCTATTTTTGTGATGCCTGTTCTTATTTATTATTATTATTATTATTATTATTATTATTATTATTATTTTAACAATCTAAGGGAAAAGATATCAGTGCCCCTGACTAAATAGTTAGGTATTGAGTGTTTTAAAAATTCTTACAGCTTGCCTGGCTGATGTGTCTCAGTGGTTGGCCTTAGCATATAATTAGCATCTTACTCTTAGATTGGTTGGATGGCCGACTGGATAACTGGACACAACATATTAGGCTTTTTTATTTTTTTTATTTTATTATATAGGACTTACTGTTTTCTTTCAACCTATGAACTAGGAGGTCAGTTTCAATTCCTGGTCAGGGCACAAGGTTGTGGGCTCAATTCCCAATGGGGGGTGTTCAGGAAGCAGCCAATCAATGATTCTCTCTCATCATTGATGTCTCTCCTCTCTCTCTCTCTTTCTGTCTCTCTCTCTCACCCTCTTCCTTGCTCTCTGAAAGCAATATGAAATATATGTTAAAAAATTCTTGCAGTTTGAAAATTGCTGCTGTAATGGTTACTTTGGAGAGGAGAGGGAAGACAATGATTAGAAGGGGATGGAGGGAAGGGGAGTATCTGATGTGTTGGCTTTGTTCATTGTCTTGTTCTAGATTTTGTGATAATTCGTTGTGTTGTGTTGTGTACTTTTCTGTATGCATGTTACATTTATCAATAAAACATTTAAAAATTTTAATGTAAGGCAAAAAAATCTTTTTTTTTTCCATTGAGGAGCTGATATCTGTTTTTTATTTATAATTAGAGGCCTGGTGCATGAGTTTGTGCACCAGTGGGGTCCCTCAGCCTGGCCTGGGGGATTGGGCCAAAATCAGCTCTCTGACATTCCCCAAGGAGTCCTGTATTGTAAGAGGGCCAGGCCAGGCCAGGCTAAGGGACCTACCCGTGCACTATTGGGGCGAGGGAGGGATACGGGAGGTTGGCCAGCCAGGAAGGGACTGTGTGAGGACTCCAGGGCATGTCCGGTCAGTCTCCCTAAGTCCCAATCGGCCGGACCCCAGCAATAAGCTAACCTACCAGTCAGAGTTTCTGTCCCCTGGTGGTCAGTGCACATCACAGCAAGTGGTTGAGTGGCCTTAGCATATAATTAGCATCTTACTCTTAGATTGGTTGGATGGCCGACTGGATAACTGGACACAACATATTAGGCTTTTTTATTTTTTTTATTTTATTATATAGGACTTACTGTTTTCTTTCTTTAGTTTGGCTAACAAGAATCCTAGAACTGAATCTCAGGTTCAGTTCTAGCAATTGCATCAACCACTGTGACCAAATAATTTTCTTCTTCCTCCATCCATGCCTTTTTACTATTTCCCTTGCCATGATTATTTTTAATCTACATATTTTTAAACCACTAGTTAGTTTTATATATTTATAACTGGGTATGACTGCTTGGGAGGTTACATCTCTTAAAATTCAAATTAACGACATAAACCTCCAGTTCTCTAAATTAATGGGTATACTGTTATTTCTCTTGGGGATTTCTCCTACCTTTCAACAGCCCCGAGAATGCCAAAAGCAGAGAAGAAAGTTAAATGTCCGCTATAACACTTTATTAAATAGATGGCATCATAGCTGTCTAAAGGACTTAATTCACCCTGAAAAATACCCAACTCACACTTAGAAAATACTTAAAGAAGTTTGAAGAATTTTATAATGCCTATAGGAGTAATAACCATGTGGTAATCCTTTAAAGCATATTAATACTGCAAATAAAATAACAGTGAATAATTTTCCATAACTATCTAAATTCACTAGAACTCAAGTAACCGTTGTAAAAAAGGAACAACTTGAGTTCAAAGAACAGACGTGTGTTTTTACCTTAGCACACCCAGAATGGCTATTATTGTAATCATTACATGGTAGGAAACCATCATAGCTTGAAAGTTAGTTAATTCTCACAATCTGTTACAGCTCTAATGTAGTTCAAATTAAATGTACTTCCTGAATATAACTCCTGAGTAAGTACAGTACAATGAACTCCTTGATAAAATCTTCTTAATAACCAAAAGTTGCCTGGTAGACATTTGAATGCAATATGATTAAAAATGCCAAAACTTAGCATTTCTAGGCCTTTGAATAATAGGAATGTGTAAGGTTTAATACAATGACATTTTAATAAATCAAAGTTAAACTCTTATTTGTTTACTTGCAGAAATTATTCATAAGCTTGACAGTGTTTATTAAGCAAAAAATTGAGACATTGAGAGTGTGTTGCTAAGGAGCTTTTTTTTTTTTTTTTTTTTTTTTATGGAGTGATTGCCTTGTCACTTACATTACAATGATGCTATCTGCTAGATGGATGGCTAATTGTGAGAAGTCTTTGTTTCAAGGGAAAAAATAATAGGTATCATAAAGTGCTGTTATGTAGCACAGTATATGTATAGAGCCCTGCTTCAGCTCTAAATCAGGATACAATTGGCACGATCTTAAAAGGCAGCAAAATGACTAGAGCATTTTTTTATAGTCTTGTTACCATGTTTCTAAAATATACCCCAAAATCCACCTGGCTAAATACTGGGCCTAGTTTTCTTCAGTCCTGACCTCCAAGCAATTGTCATTAAAATAATCTAACATGCTTATCCATCAAGAGGTTCTACTGCCCACATGAACCTGCCTATGGCCCCAAGCAGGTAAAACTGAATGGACTAGAAGTGGGCACCTGACTTAGGAAACCAATCTAAAGGCTGGCTTTCCACCTGACTGTCACAAAAGATAACGCAATCCTATTTCCCCTTAGAGATCCGAGGTAAGAATTTGCTTGAGGGCCCTGTGCAAAACCAGGGGGAGCCAGAAACTATGAGGAAGCCTACTGATAGTGGAGCAGAAAGAAGCTGAGAGACATGTTAGTGAACATCTATAGACTCCACATCGCTGGACACCGAACAGCCATTCTTGCCAGAGTCCCTAATGCCAGGTACTACTGTAATTCCAGTCATTTATTTTGCTCTTTCAATGCAAACCCTTTACAGTAGGGTTTCCTTGAGCTAATAATACCAGTTAGTCTGTATACCTTCTAAAAGCCAAACTAAAACAAAGTTTGGGGTCAAAGGTTATAATCTATTTCTAAATTTTTATTGGAAGGCACCAGTTGGGAACAGAGAAATGCCAGCTGCAAAAAAGCTTTCATTTTAAATGCTGTTTGCAAAGCACTATGCCAAAGCCATTCTAAAAGACAGGATGATTGTAAACTATGGCAAAATCGCACTTCATTATAAATGATTTGAGCAGTTTTTATAATAAGTTAAAGGAATATTATTTTAAAAAGCTCAAAATATAACAATCCCTTTGAAAGGTGGAGTTGGGAACTAAAATATTTTAGTGATTCATTTGAAACAAACCATTTATAGTGGGCATGGGCTGTCCTCTGGCATCACCTTTTTCTTTTCTTTTTTACATTTCTTGGCTCACTATTTATATAAAGACCTAAAATTTTAGAAAATGTGGATTGTGTTTGCTTCAGGGATGACATTTCAACTTT